ACTTTTCATGGATGACATACCCTATGATCATTTATGAGTAATTCTTTATTTCTAGATACAAACCATTTTCGGGGTTACTATATAGCTTTTCTCTCATATGCAAGTGGAGTCTAATGGGGACATTCCCTTTGACACAACAAGTTATTAATACAACTCATGATGCATGGGTCTGTAGGGTTACACAAAAAGTACAATCCAAGTTCTAAACGACAAAAAATAATATTATGCAGAGACCAGTTTATTAGTTCAGCACGTATATAGTGACTTAATTAGAAAAATAGAAACTAGTATGACTTGAGGGGTTTAACTTATAGCTAATTTGAATACGATTGAATAAGATCTTATTTAAGTATTTGAACTATTTGTAAGATAAGGATAATCATTAAAACCCTCCTTGACTCCATCCCTATATATATGATCTCACTTTCCTCCACTTTGGTTCTCTTTAAAATCTAGCACACACAAAATAGGGTTTTAGTGTTTTTCCTTCTTAACAAATGGAAACATTCCAATATATCTTGTTTGGTATTGTTGGAGAGAAAAGGGTTTTTCTTGGTGTTTTTGTGGACTAGCATTGACAAACAGAAGGATTGTTAGTGTGGTGTGAACATGCGGTAGAAGATTTATTATTTAGGCTCTAGCTAGAAATCATTCAAGCTGTTTATGGCATTTATTCTCTTATTTCTCTATGTTTATTTTTCTTCACGACATTATGTATATGGTTACATGGATGAATCATGATGGATTTTGTTATACATGCTTCCATTGCCATTTGGTTTTTAGGATCCTTCATGATCCAATAAAACTAATGTTAACTTAGGTGACCACTAGGTGTTTAATACATACTATGAGTAAAATGGTGTGACTATAGTTGCAAAGGTGAGTATTTACCAAAAAAATACACCTATACTTTTTTTTTCATTTTAAAGTTCTTTTTCTTTATGATAACCTATTTATATGACATACTAATATTATAATTATGTTAGTGCATTACAGAAATGTATTTTGAAAAGAGTTTTATTACCCATGGGGACCTTTCGCATATTTTGAACTTGGTTTTGATCATGAACATGAGAAACCACATACGATGGTTTGAGAATTAGTGTGATTATGACATTCATGGCTCCTCAATTTAGAAATTTTGAGTTGATGTCGACATTCTAGAAATCTTCACATGCTCATGAGATTTGCAACCCCCTTGAGGTGGTGGGTACTATGGTGATAAATCCTTTTGACCGACTTTTGGATGGGCATGAGAAAAATGGTATTTCACACGAGCCAATAACGTATGGGAAATATGTGGTGTTCTATGTGACATCCTCACATACGTCGAATGTTTTTACATCAATTGAGAGTTTGGACTTTGGATACACATGAGAATTTGGAAGTAAAGGCATTTGCATTGTATTAGATAATTTGATTATTGTTTTTTCTTAAGATTTTGTTGAGATTGTGTTATGCTACTATTGAAGTTCTCATTCCCTATTTATTGAGCTTGGTATATATCTTCAAGTTTTATAACTTATTTTCGAGGTTTTTACTTTGGGTATGGATGATCACTCTCATCCAAATCTCTTGAAGAGGTGACCTCATGACAACCTACTAAACTTTCCAAACTTAACACTTGTATTTTGATACGTATTTAGATCGGAAGACTTTTTGAAGACAAAGGACAAATTTACCTCTTGACACTACTACAAAAAGGCAAATAAGACTCGTTTAATAGGACCCGGTTTCGGAAAAAACCGGGTTATATTATGCAAAAACTGCGTATGATACAGAAGAGAACCATATGACCCGACTGGAAGAAAAAAATCGGGCTCTATAGTATTCTTAAAGAACTTAGTTTCTATTCAAACAACCGGGCCTTTTAACTGTAGGGCTTTTGTGACTCGGTTTTTAGAGCACAACCGGGTTCTATCTGAATATAAAGCACGAATTATGTAATTATCATATGACCCGTTTTTAAAAATAACCGGGCCTTATTCTCTCTTCACTGGAAAACGACCAACAAGGGAAAAATGGTTACTAACCCTAAAAGACCCCTCCAACATCTAAAACGAAATTAAAAGGAGCACAAATAATACGAGAAAAGATATCCTTATCACCTTGAAAATTGATGCACTGTGAAAAAAATAATAAATAAATAAACATATAAAATATAGATTAATCAAATACTTAACTGATCATGAATAAAAGTTTAAATTTAAAGCTAAAAAGATATTGATAAAAATATGGATTGAAAGATAATTACCACATACTCCAATAATTATCAACTTAATTCCTATTTTTTCTTCCATTCACGCACACAAAAAAACAGAGACCATATGAAAAAAGTACTATTTATTCAACAATTAGCATACACAGAAAATTAAGTGAAATTATATGTGCAGAGAATCGATAAATCTTGTATGAAGAGATGAAAATCGTATGATACATCACACATATTCTTCTTCATTAAGTCTGAGTATGTATCTCCACTCTTATTGTAGATTTGTAGTATATGTTGTTAATTTAATCATATGTTTAATTCAAATTTTCTTGTTTTTTTAACCGCTGAGGTCTGTGCTCAGCCTCAAATTTTCACATTCAAGTTGTTTAACGTTTAATTTTTTTAAAAACTTACATAAAAGTTGAACAGAGTGAGAAGTTGTGAACAGCACAGTCCATTGCAAAGAGCAAGCAAAGTTATATATAGTGTCACTGTAGCCTTCCAAATGTCCCCTAAAATTATAGATTTCATTAATTCTTTCCCTTTCATCTTTGGCACTCACAATAAACAACACATTCAAAGGTAACTTCCAGATGAGAACATAAAATTTCTTTTTATTTGAGTAGAATTGAAAATTAAATACAGTGTTGAGACAATGGATATCACAGGAGTATTTAAAACTTATTGAATCATAATATTTTTTTTATGTCATTACAGATGGATCCTAATAACTCGATGCATCGAATTAAACGTTCAGACGATGAATACTTGCAGGCTCACTGTTGTCTTGATGTTATGCATATTGAAAAAAATGTTTGTGAAAGCTTGATAGCCTTAATGTTGAACACCAAGGGAAAGAAGCCAAAAGACGAGGTTAGTGTTCGAGAAGATGATGTTGATGACACAACTTTCGTAAGGTCAGATCACGTTGTTACTCCTACACCTCCTTCTTCACTGCATCAAGCAACCGGCGATTTGACTAGCTACCACACCATCAGGTTGTGCCTTAATAGATGATTCCTCCTCATCATCCTGATCTAGTGCCTAAAACCCTTATCTTTTCCTCGATTTTCCTTATCCCCTACCTCATATCAGGAGGTCGCCAAGTCATTGCTAAGGCAGCATTACTCGTATACACGACTCTACATCTCAATTGTTCCTCTTCTCCAAAACAACAAGACAAAATTCTTCACAGCATCTCTCCTCTCGTAAGTACACTTCCCGATCGTTTAATGTTTCCCACCGTCTCCTATAGTATCGTGAATTCTTGTCACGTAAGTTGT